ACACACACACACACACACACACACACACACACACAAATACACACACGTCTGTCTCACAGCTGGCAGAAGAGACATGGCAAGAGCGAGGGGCTGGGGGGGCGTCCAGTTGACATTTCACATAAAGAAACATGCGTCACATTCCCGAGGCACCACATCCCGCTACAGATATAATTCACTTTTCTCTGCCATTTGACAACATTAGAAGATCCTGTCTGCCTGAATCAACCTTTCGCTGTCTAATATTATTGTCATCAGTCTCGCTGTGATTTATCCATCTATCCATTTTCTGTAACCGCTTCACCTTTCCGGGTCACGGGTAGCTGGTGTCTGTCTCCAGCAMTCCCTGTGGGAGAGGCATCCTGTTATTTATACTGTATTTGGTGAAGTTTGGTTTCTTTCTTTGTTTGGGTTTTATTTCCTACTGAGAGCAAACATAACAATAACACAGCCTTTTGAGTCACAAATAAATGTACAAATGGAATAATTATTGTGCAAATCTGTGCTTAAAATATCATCAAATTATTCCTTATTACCTTTGGATACAACTACAAACAATCTAACAATTCACACTCCCTTTTTGGTAAATATTCAGGCTCCTTTCTGTAATAATCATGCACATAATAATTAAACAAATACCTGTTTCATCATAAAATCCTACTTAAAACTGATGTGCTATAACCGATAAGGTAAAAAAAACAATATTTGCAGCTTATATTTGCATATTTTAAGCAGCTATTATTTTTGAAAGGCGATTTTATTTTTTATTCACAATGCACTCTCTGCATACTAAACAATAAAGACCTAATCTTTTGACTCAAAAGCTTTATACTTATTGGGTCCGACAGAGTCACATTAAAACAGGTACAATTAGCCATAAAGCATAATAAATGTATCATGCATTATAAATCTGTAGTTAAAGAATGTGACACAGTGAACTGTGTTCCTTGTGGTGATTTATTAAACAACAGTGTTAATAAAAATGGACCCGTACCGTTTTAAAATAAAGGAAACTGTACTTTTTAATGCTAATGTTGCTTTTAAAAAGATCAGATGCAAATGTTTCATTGTAATTTTAAAATCTTAAATATATATTTGAACATTTTTTAGGAATCTAGACAAAGAAGGACAAAAAACAAAAACAAAGATCTTCCTAGCTACTTTTTTGTTTACACTATTGACCTCTAAATGCTAGGAGACGAATCCCAATT